CGCGCGTTGGATTTTCACATTTGACTTTCACGTTTGACTTTTTACGCTGGGCTTGCGCGTTGGATGTTCACGTTGGACTTCCGCGTTATTTTACGTTGGACATGCGCGCTGGATTTCACCGTGCACGGTGCGTCCTACCGAATACAATTGTGCACTTGCTATTGTGAGCTAACGCCATTAGCACTAAACACTTACGGTCAATCTTGATGAATACGATGATGATGATAATGATGATGACGATGGCGATGACATGACGGTGATGATGATGATGGTGATGATGATGATGATAATGATAATGATAATGATAATGATAATGATGATGATGATGATGATGATGATGAAGATGAAGATGATGATGATGATGATGATGATGATGATGATGGTGATGATGATGATGATGATGCGGGTGGTGATGATGGTGAGGATGATGAGGATGATGGCGATGAAGATGATGGCGAAGACGGGGGTGATCGTGATGGTGGTCGTGCTGGTGATGGTGATGGTGGTGGTGACGAGGATGACCATGATGACGAGGAAACGGATATTATGTGTGAAGCTTACTGCTTGTGTACAATTTTCCCCCAGACCCCTTCTGGCCAGCTCTGGCGGTTGGCGGACCTCCCATGACTTCCTCTGGCCTCCGATGGCTTTGCCCCGATGGATCCCGCAGTTTCGTGCGGTTTCTCTGTCTATCCCCGATGAAGATCATGTTTCTGGTAATAATGAGGATGGGGATGAGGATGATGATGGTGGTGATGATCGTGATGACGAGGAAGAGGAACATTCTGCACAAAACCAACTTATTGTACAGAATTTCCCTCACACCGCCACGGCCTCCGGTGGCTCTGCCCTCGATGGACCCCATGGACTCGCCGCGCGGGTTCTTTTAATTCCCGATGGCGATGATGAAGATGAGGAGGAGGATGCTGATGATGATGATGATGATGATGGTGGTGGTGATGGTGATGGCGACAAGGGAGGGGGGATTCTGCACAAACTCATTTTTTCATGGAATGTCCCCTGGCCCTCCATTGCCTCTGGTGGCTCTGCCCTCGACGGATCCCACCCGCGACTTCGCTGCGTGGACTCCTCTACCTCCCGCTGGTGACGGTGATGATGATCATCATCCTAATGATCATGATGATGATAATGGTGGTGATGATGGTTACCATGATAATGGTGATGGTCAGGGGTGATGGTGATGGTAATGCGAATGACGATGATGACAACGACGAGGGATGAGGATGATGATGCTGATGCTGATGCTGATGCTGATGCTGCTGATGATGGTGGCGACGATGAAGGGGAAACGTTTGCACAAAGTCAGCGTTCTGTACAGAACTTCTAGCGATGGATACCACGGCTTCGCCGCGCGGGTCCTTACAATTCGCAATCATGATGATGCTGTTGATAATGGTGACGATGATGATGATGATGATGATGATGATGATGATGATGATGCTGGTGGTGACGATTGTGATGGTGATGGTGGTCGTGGTGATAACGATGATGCTGACAATGGTGAGGAGGGAAGAGGGGTGCTGGTACGGTGGTGGTAATTGCGATGGTGATGATAATTTCGATTGTGATAATTACGATGGTCATGATGATGAGGAAGGGGGGAATTCTGTACAATGCCAGCCTTTTGTACAAACGTTTCCCGAACCCCCCCCCCCGGACCAGCTTCGGCGGTGGGCGGAGGCGGGTCTCCCATGACCTCCTCTGGCCTCCGATGGTTCTGCCCCTGGTGGATCCCACGGCTTCGCACGGGCTTTTCCGATTCCTGATCATGGTGGTGATGATAATGGTAGTGGTGATGGTGACGATCACGAAAAAAAAAACACGCTTGTCATACATAATTTCCCTCAGTTCCCTTCCCCCCCGCCAGCTTCGGCGGTGGGCGGGAGGAAGATGAAACCGTAGGGAACGGGGAGGACCCTGTTACACTCCATTTCCGCGCAATTCCGTGCAACAAGAGGGGAGGAGGAAGGTGTGAATAACGGAACGCCTCCTGTTACACGCAGTTTCCCACAATTTCTTGAAGTCTGTGCTGACGCAAATGGGGAAGTGAATCTAACTCAAGACAAATTGAATGTGACTGAACGGAACCGTGTGTTACTAGAAGGAGCTGAGTGCAATTGCGAAAAACTTGCGCAAATGCGGGAAACTGAATGCAAAGGAAAACTGGATGTAACTGAGGGGAACTGAATGTACAGTGAAAACTGAACGTAACTGAGAGAAGCTGAACTATTCAGTTATGGAAAAAATTGAAAGAAACTGAGCGCAACGTAGGGAAACTGAATTTTCTCAATGAAACTGAAAGTAACTGAGGAAAACTAAATGTAACTGAGTGTGGGGAGCCGGCGCCATCAGACGCCCCGCGCGGCCACAATGCGCTCCTGGACGTTGCAGATCGTTTCCCAGTCGCTGGCCAGCATCCAGCAGTAGATCATGGTCGCGGAGTCCCGGTTCACCCGGCGAGGCGGCAGAGTCCAACTTCCCGGTGAAGGGCTGGGGCTCGCAGCAGGGGAAAGGTCATCTGTTGACGCCTGCAGTGGACAGGGCGAGATGCGAGGAGAAGGAGGAGGAGGAGGAGGAGAAGGTGGAGGAGTAAAACGACCCCGACGAGCACGACAAGATGGAGGGCGAGGAGGAGGAGGAGGAGGGAAGGGAAGGGAGAAGGCGGCGCAGAAGCAGGAAGAGGAGGAGGGAGGAGGAACAGGAGAAGAAGGAGAACGAGAAAAACAACCAGGACTGGTGATGCTGCTGATGATGATGATGATGATGATGGTGATGATGGTGATGCTGATGCTGCTGATGATGATGGTGATGGTGATGATGATGATGATGATGATGATGATGACGACGACGGTGACGAAGACGACGACGAGGAGGATGATGATGAGGAGGAGGATAATGATGGTGGTTATGAGGATCATGACGACGAGAAGGAGGAGGAGGAGGCAGAGGATGAGAGAGGGCGCTCTCATGCAGACCCCACATGGCTCCCCTGGGCTCAGAACAAATCACAGAACGCCGAAACGACTGAAAAGAGGCCGACGGAACGCCAGATCAACCAGAGCGTGACGAAGTCGAAGCGAAGAACAACCAGTGAGGGTTACTGGCACGTAGAGGCGGGTGGAGGAGGAGGAGGAGGAGGAGGAGGAGGAGGAGGAGGACAAGGAGGGAGTAGGACGAGGAGGGAGAGAAGGATGTGAGGGGAACGTTAGGAGGGGACTGGCTCAACTGTGGAAAACATCGGCCTGGAATAGGCGATACATCGCCGATAGATAGCGATAAGCCCTCTATAGCGAAACCGCACCGTCCTGGGCCGGGGCGAGCTATCGGGCCCCTATCGGCGATGAATGGGCGATTGAGGGTTGATGCATCCTCCTCTGAGCCTACCCCCCCAAAACGTTGCCACCGACCTTGGTCTCAGGCACGAGCGAACGGAAAACAAGCGCCGATGGCAAGCGCGGCGGAAGCTCAGGGATGTGCGTGGCGAAGGCAGCAGAAGAACGCCGATGTAAGATCACCCCTGCATCACGCACGACGGCGGCAGCTCGCACCACGGCGGCGTCGCTGGGCAGGGCGTGGCCACCACGATGCCTATCGCATCGTCCCCGTGTCCAAATCTGCAGCTGTCCACTACTGTCAGGAGATTTAGGAAGAAATAGCCTCCAGGTCATGATCATCGGCCGGCGCATCAACACCACCATTCTGCTTAAGGAGAAGGCACACGTCTGGACCTTCCAACTTCGGCTTGGGCGTTATCGGCGCCATTAGCCTGAAGGATGAAGAGCACGGCGGCCAACATAGGCGCACACTCTGACTCACTTCGTCCATTCGGTTGGGGTTACGGGTGCCGCTGCGGCTAGGTCTGGAACAAAACCGTCAGCATGTGCTTATCCCTGGCGCTGTCCCGCGCGGTGATGGCATTCAACTGGCAGAGGCCGCAGGATCTCATGGCTCCGCACTGTGGAGAATATATATATATATATATATATATATATATATACATGCTAACACCCCCCTCGATCTGTTTTCACGCAGACTACTCGATCGAGCGCGGGGCGAGCAGTTGTGAGCCTCGCGCGCCAGCTGGCAATCACTCTCTGGCTGCCAACGGCAGGAAGAAGAGGAGAAGAAGAGGGAGGGCAAGGGGGGGGCCCTCAAAAACTTGAGCCAGGATAGCCACGGACAGAGCAATACAGACATGTGCTGAGAGACTCTGCCGGCGAATCCTGATCATTCTGACCCGCTGCGATGCCAATGCGTTCCATGAGCTGCGACCGGCGGAGTTCACCGTAGTGCAACAGACACGTTCAAAACGCCAGGGGGGAAATTCTGTACAAAACGGTCGTTTTGTACAGAATTTCCCCCGCCCCCTCCCGGGCGTCCACGTTTATAAACCGAGCATCACTGGCATCTTCTGAACAAACTACACGAGGGGAGCTACACATGCTATTCTGTAAACAGATGGCACATGCTAACACCCCCCTCGATCTGTTTTCACGCAGACTACTCGATCGAGCGCGGGGCGAGCAGTTGTGAGCCTCGCGCGCCAGCTGGCAATCACTCTCTGGCCAATCCCCAGATCAGAGTATCTGTACTCGGGAGGGTGGGCGGGCCCACAGGCAGCGAGCAACGGCCGCTGCCAATTCATGTGGATATGCAACGGCGTTGGCGGTATGAAACGTCTTGCCTGCCCTGCCAGCAAGCTCTACGTGCGGTTGATGAGAGAAACTGCAGACGTGCCTGCCAGAACAGTGCGCCCAACTCAGTCGAGAAATATCAAGGTTAGCATACAAGAGTCTCGTGCGTTTACGATATGGGCAACCGAAGGCGCAATAGTCAATGTCGATATACCGCCACTTCTCGCACAAGCGCTGGAACTCTGGATGACACCAGATGAAACTGCTCTGCGGGTTCTCAATCACCACGGGGCAGCCTCGAAGCGCTGCGAACTGGAAGAGGCGAGCGGCCCAGGTCGCACGAGCGTTGCCTCCGTGAACAGCTGCCAGATCCTTCCCAGCGAGGTGGGGTAAACCGAAGATGCACTTTCGCGACCGCAGCGGCGCTGGCCACCCGGGCTGCCCAGAGACGTTGCGTCTGGCACGCGACCAAGTGGCGCTTATGGAGCCAATCCACAGCAGGGCAACTAGCCTCAAACGGAGGCTCTCGTAAATGCATTTTCTGACGAGAGGGTGCATGCAGTCCTGCATCTCCGACTCGGACAGCTCCCAAGACCGGGCCTGGAAACCGGCAGCGGCGGCGGCAGCGGCAATGCGCGCTGAGCCCGCCATCAGCTCGAACACCTCCCCAGGCCTCCGAAAGCGGCGGGGTCGGTGTAGCCGGCCGCCGCGGCCCTTCCAGTTCACGCCGCCGCAGCGACGCCGCTGCGGGGCGCCCACGATCCGGGCGCCTCGCGCTTCAGCAGGCGCTCGAGCAAGTTCATCTGCTGGACGCCGAACGCCCTGTTCTCCGCTGGCATCGCGTTGAGCAGCTGGTGAATGGCCCCGGGCTTCGCGTACCTGCGCAAGCTGCTCTCGGATTTCCAATGGCCGCGCGCCTTCACGGCGTCCGCCGGCCGCCTCTGGGTGAGCAGGTCGTCGCTGGCCCCGCCGTGCCGGAGCTGGTGCAGGCATACGCCCGGGACGCCCAGGGCGGCCACAGCACGGCCGAAGGCCGCTGCCATGCCTGGGCCGCCCGTCGTGAAGAGGGGGGCGGTCGGAGGCTTGCCCCGCGCATGCGCCTGCAGCACAGGCCCCAGCCAGGCGGGCTCGTCCAGCAGCACCGTCTCGTCCGAGGTGCCGGTCTTGGTCAGGACCCGGGGCGCGCCCACCGTCTCGGTCGGTGCCAGGATGATCGACCAGTGGCTCAGCGGCCCCGACCGCCTCGCTGGGGGCAGCAGCTGCCCGACCGTCAGCTGTCGGAGAGCCCCAGGGCGAATGTAGGTGTAGAACAGAACCGCGACTTGCAGCGCCTGGTCGTACAGCCCCAGGGCCAGCAGCATCGACACCGCTGCCGCCATGAGCTCCTTTGGTGCCGGTGCCCGGGACCGAGGCGGCCGCTTCTTCCCGAACCCCCGTAGGGCGCGGGTCACCCGAGGCAGAGTCCCCGAGCCGACCGCGAAGGGGAAGTGATCCTTGACCGCCGCCACGAGCGTGTCCGCATCGCCCTTGGTACCATCGGCCCCAAGCAGGTGGTCGAGCGCCTCGAGCAGCCTGATCTGCAGCTCGTTGACGTCGGCTGGGACGCGGCCCTTCGTCTGGCAGAAGTCGAGGAAGGCGTCGCAGAGCGGCCTGTAGTTGGCGCGCGTGGCAGCGCCTGCTGCGGCCTCCTCGCAGTGCGAGCGGGCCGCGGCCGAGGCCGGCGACTTGGATGCCTGGCTCAGCGCCGCCGCGACCCGCCTCGGCCGGGGGACAGCGGCCGGCTGCTGCCGGGCGCGGGGGCCGGCCGCCGCAGGCCGCCGCCTGGCGGCTGGCCGCCGCTTCGGCGGTCCCGCAGCAGGCGTGGGGGCCGGAATCGGCGCAGCCTCGGCCTCGGCTGTCGGCCTCTCCTCGCAGCTCTGCGAGGGCCCGGCGCCAGCTCGACTCAGCGGACCAAGCATGGCCGAGCGGGCCCTGGTGCTCGAAGAGCCGACTGCCCGCGTCCGCGGGGTTGAACTCGGACGGGATCCAGCGAAACCTGGGGCTGATCCCGCTTGCGAGACAGATGGCAGCGGTCCGACGGCACAACTGCAATATGGCGTGTGACGATGACCTCCCCCGATCCAGCCCGCAGCAAACCCCGAAGTTGTCGATGAGAAATAGCCTGATAGTTCCGAAGTTCCGAACGTCGCGAGCAGCCCGTCTGAGCCCCCACAGAAACGCCCGCCCCTCCTTGACACCGATATGTTCCTGATAACGTAGGGGGCCAGCATATATCGTGCGGTACCCTGTCGTCGCGAGCTCCCGAGGAACCTCTGGAAATCCTTGATGAAGAGCCCACCCTGGACCAGATGGCGACGGTGAGCAGGCAGTGACGGTGAGGGGATCTTCGATCTCAGCGAACTCCTGGGCAAGGGCACGGCGCCTCGGCGCCCACTCGTCGGGATTCCGCCGCCTGTACCTCCACCGCTCCCGCCATCGCCCGACGGAGGCCACGGCGGAGACCGGGAAAATTGCTTCGCACACCGCCATGCCACGGTTCGCGGCATCGGAGGCCGTCACGACGGGCGACCACGGCCGGTCGAGCCTCGCAGAGAGAAGCAAGCTCACGTCGGCCATTACCCACGCCTCGTACCGGCAGGAGGCCCACAAGCGCGTCGGCATGACGTACTTGTCGCGGATGAAATCGTACAGCGACCGCATCACGCTGAGCCCGAGCCTGTTGAAGGACGTGAGCGCAACGTAGTGCCCGACGATGACCTCCACCTGGCGCCCAGTGACGGTGGGCCCCGAAGCCAGCCACTGCAGCGCCCCTCGCACTAACAGCAACTTGTTCAAGACCCGGCGCGTGCTCGGCGGAGATCCGCCGACGCTCGCGCCCAGGATCACCGCGGCGTCCGAGACGGGCGAAATCTCGTGCATCGCGAAGCCATGCCGCTCGAAGGTGGAGACGATCTTGTCGCGGAGCTCCCCGACGGCGACCGGGTCCAGCCCGATCACGTTCACGTTGTCGGAGTATGGGAGCTCGACAGGGCCGCCCTCCAGCAGCGGCAGCGGCCACCCGCCAAGCGCCAGGCGACTGGAGTCAATCCCAGCGCGCCGCAGCATTTCTAGGTGGACGCGCTGGACGAACCAGAAGGCCCAGGACCAGCCCATCGGCAGCACGTTCAACGCCACGTGGAGCTTCATCTTTGCGTCGTGGAACAAGCCCGTGACGTCGAAGCCCAGGTGCGTCGCTTCTGCCACCGAGATTCCTGGCAGACAGAAGAATTCGATGAGCGACCCCAGCCCGCCACACTGGTAGAAGCAGGCCTCGATGTCCGCCGACGCCGTGAACACCTGGCGGCCCCGCGGCACCTCGAGCCCGCTCAGGCAGTCCAGCGCTCCGATCTCCATCACGGGGGCGTGGTGGAAAAGGATGTTGATGAGCCGGCAGTCCAGCACCAAACGCTGCTTCCCATTTTTCTTGGAAACGAAAAACGGGGTCACGCTGCCTCGGCGGCGGCCGACAAGAGAGATGATGCCGCGGGACTTCAACATCGACAAGAACTGGATGTACTTGGGCCGGCTCGCCCGGAACTCGAGGTCGAGGTACGGCTGCGCCGGCGCCGACATACGCCGCTGCTCCACCACGTCAGGCGAGGCGAGCAGGTCAGTCTCAAAGTTCTGCAAAACTGCGGCCGCCTCCGGGTCGAGCGCGCCCGAGAGGCAGGCCGCCCCCTTGCCGAGAGGGGGCAGGGAGACGCGGTCCCCGTCGAATGGCTCGACCGTGGTGCCGTCACCTCCATACTCCATTTTGGGACCCAGAAGTCGACGAGCGGCTTCCCGGGGAACGACGTGTTCAAAATCTTGCCTGGCAGCACGAGCGGTGCTCAGCAGATCTCTGTGTACCTGATGCTGAGCAGGCGTCGGAGCCCCGCCTGGCGGACGGACGCACCCGTACAGGGAGTTCAGGGCGCGGACCATGCCGTTGGCGTCCTCCCATGCGTGCCGGCGGAGGCTGCTGTGGCGGCGAGCCGTCCTGGACGATCCGCCACCTGTCTTGCAAGGCCACTCCGGGCCGAGGAGCGGCAGGGGAAAAAGGTCCCGCTCCACTCCAGCCGACTTTACCGTCGGCTCGAATTGGGCGACGTCTCGACGACGATCAGGCCAGGCCCAACCCACGTTCGCGACGCCGTCGTCCTGGCTGAGAGGGTCGATGGAGGCGGGCGCGCCAGGATGAGCGCCCGCGGGGCTCGGCCCGCCTCCGATCTCTCCACTGGTCATTTGTCCCCGGCGGCCTTGGCCTTTGCCTTGGCCGCCGCTTTGGCCTCGCGGGCCTTTCTCCTCTCCTTCTCGATGGCCGTCTCCTTGGACAGCTCAGTGGCGACATGGGCGCGGAGCGACGGCGCCACGTGGACGCCGGTGCCCTCCTCGTCTTCGCCCATGTACAAATGGGCTGAGTCCCACGACCCGCTTACGGGATCGTCGCGGTGGGCCGTCTCGATGAGCTGACGGCGACGATTAATGTACTCGAGGCGCGTCAAGTTCGGCAAGTTCAGCCCGTCGATTTCATGTGCCATCGACAAGGCACGGCTCAGGACACGATGCTCGTGTCCAGACCTGCTGGAGGCTGGCACCTTCGAGTCCACCAACCAACGGTCGTGCGCGGCCGTGAACCCCCCAGTCGAGCCCTTCCTGAGGTCCGCGAGGGTGTCGGGCAGCGTGGCGGGGCCCTTGATCCCGATTGGGACGCTGGGGTCGCGCTTCATCAGCCTCACATCGTCGACGAAAGCCGACTGCTCACCGCCAGCGGGGCGAGGCAGGACACGAGGGTCCGCCCTCATCAGCTGCGCCTGGCGCTGCCGGGCCCACCCATCAAGGTCTGTCCCAGCCGCGACGCGCGTCCCGCTGACCGCCTTGCCGTTGACGGACACGAATGTCCGGCCCCCCACGTCGAGAGCGTTGGCCGGCAGGGCGAACTCCTGGCCGACGGCGAAGGAATCGCCCGGCTCGTCGAAAACCCATGCCCCCGCGGCGCCCGCCACGCGCGGGGCCATGGGAACCGCGGGCACTCCAGGAGCCACTGGCGGCGGCACAGGCAACGGGATGGGCACGACCGCCGGCGCATTGCCTCCCGGGCCGATGATGTCATCCTGCCCTGGTGGCGGGGCCAGGCCTCGCGCCGCCCGCTCCACTCTCGCGTGGTGCCGACCCTCGGCCATGAGGTTCACCAAGTCAGCTCCAGCGGGCCGAGCTCGAAAGCGATATAGCTGCGCCCCCGTGAGCCCAAATGGGATCGAGCCCGCATGGTCGCTAACCCTCAGAGCCTCGAGATCTGGATTAGAAGCGTCAATTTGTTCAATGTACACGTCAAAGTCAGGCGTGATGACGATGAACAGCGAATCTACCACCCACGCCAGCAGGATCCGCTCATGATAGAGCGCGTCCCCGTAGTTGAGGAAAACGGTGATACCTGGCTCCAGCGCCATTGCCCAATTAGGCGGTCACGATCTGCCCCTGTCCTGTGCCTGCCCGCGCCAGCAACCTTGCGCGATTCGACGCCGGCGCCTGGGCCGGAGGCTCGTCCACGATGGCCTCGGCGGCTGGGCCTGGCCGCGGCTGGGCGCCTCCCGCCCCAGCCTCTCGCCGGCGCTGGCAAGCGCCTGGCAGCAGGACCAGGCGCCCGGCCGCGAAGCCCACCGCGGCCCCAGCGGCGAGGCCCGCAGAGCCGGCAGCCAGAGCGACCCCGGCCGAGCCCCACAGGATCTCGCGGAGCGGCAGGGCCTCCGCGCACGAGCAATTGCCGCAGGTGACCTGCGGGCACGCCGGCTGGGGCGCGCAGGTCAGCGTCGGGCACGCGGGCGGAGCCGGGCACGAGCTGACCACAGAGGCGGTGTACCAGTGTGCGCCGATGCTGGCGATCTCGCGGCACCAAGAAGCGATATCGGAATACCAGTACATAGGCCCTCAAAAACTTGAGCCAGGATAGCCACGGACAGAGCAATACAGACATGTGCTGAGAGACTCTGCCGGCGAATCCTGATCATTCTGACCCGCTGCGATGCCAATGCGTTCCGTGAGCTGCGACCGGCGGAGTTCACCGTAGTGCAACAGACACGTTCAAAACGCCAGGGGGGAAATTCTGTACAAAACGGTCGTTTTGTACAGAATTTCCCCCGCCCCCTCCCGGGCGTCCACGTTTATAAACCGAGCATCACTGGCATCTTCTGAACAAACTACACGAGGGGAGCTACACATGCTATTCTGTAAACAGATGGCATATGTATGTATGTATGCGTTGCTTGGTCTGTGCGACCATGACCGAATCAAAAAGATATGTGCTTGAAGAGATCCGAAAAAAACATGGTCCGAAACCACAACCCGCTCCACCATTTTGCCCACTTGCCACTGCCCGCTCCCCCACACCGCCACCACGCCCGCAGAAGTGGCACAACAACATCAGGCACTTCACCGTCAAAGCCTTCGCGAGGAGGAAGACAAGTCTCCTTCATCATTGGTTTGCGTGTCATCGCCGGCCAGTGGTGCCGAAGGTTCCTCCTTTCCACCCTACCGCAGTCACCAACAGCACCACGGACTGCAGAATCACGGTCCCGTCAGAACCTTCGAGAGAAACAACGCCATTGCCTTCAACATCGGCGGGCGAGCCGTCATAACCAAACGATGCGGAAGAATGGCCCACGCCCAGACCTTGAGTTTCCGCGTGTGAGCATCAGCGCCAAGGCCTGCGAAACAGGGGACAAGAGCCACACCACAGAGGCTGACCTGACTGCGCAGTCGGAGCACATGGTGAAACATCGTGCGGAACACCAGCACCATGAACTGGCTGTGCAGCACTCTTGAGACTAGGAGCAAAAGGACTAACGTCAGCAGTCGGATCATCAACTTCCACTCAGATACAGTAGATACCTGCGCAGCAGAAAACTTAGGCATACACATGCTTAGACGGGTGGGTTCACTTTTTTTCCAGCAGACGGTATTATTGTCTTGGCTCCGTCGGAAACACTTGGGCAGCGACGGCGCGGTCGCGCCCAGCAAGACCCCCTGCAGGTCGCACCATTGCACGTCGCAGTGCGCGCGCGCCGACGGCGTCAGCGCGCCCAGGAGCTGGTGGACCATGCCCGGCTTGGCGTAGCGGCGCACCGACGCGCACTGGGCCCAGTGCCCCCGAGCCTTGACCTCGGCCAGGGACCGCCTCTTCGACGGGACATCGCGGCTGGCGCCTCCGTGTCTGAGCTGGTGCAGCATGAGCCCGCGCAGCCCCAGCCCCTCGCCCATGCGGCGAAACGTCGCGATCACCTGGGCCGCGGGCGTCGTGAAGAGGGCCTCGTTGGGCCGCCTCCCCCGCGCGTGAGCCCCCAGCATCGGGCCGAGCCAGGGCGGGAAGTCGAAGTCGATCGACTCGTCGGACGCCCCCGTCTTGGTCAGGACGCGAATCGCCGCCCCCATCAACTGAGGCCGCGTTGCGTCCTCGCGCGTCGGAGCCAGCGACGGCGCCCAACGCCCCAGTGGTTCGGCGTCGCGCAGCGGCGGGGCCAGCTGCCTCACCTTGACCTGCCGCATGCCTGAGGCTCGCGAAATGCCGCGTCGCCACCTGCAGGACCGCGCCCTGCATGCCCTTGGCCACCGTGCCCGAGCCGATGACCGCCATCACCTCTATGGGCAGCGGCACCCGCGAGCGAGGTGGGGCACGCTTGCCGAAGTCCTTCAGCGCCCTCGGGACCCGAGGGGGCGACCCGATTCCCGCGGCGAAAGGTAGCGCAGCCTTCACAACCGCCACGAGGTAGTCCCCGTCGTGCTTCGAGCAGCCGCTCTGCAGCATGCAATCGAGCATCTCTAGGAGCTTCACTTGTAGCGCCGCGGCGGCGTCGGGCACTGGGCGCGGCTGGCAGGAAGGCGGCGAAGTGCTCCGCGCACTTGGCCCTCGCGTCGGCGCCCACGGCCGCCTCCTGCACGCCGAGCGGTGGGGGGGGGAAGGCAGGCGAGATCCGCGGCGCGGCAAGAACCCCGCGCAGCCGCGGCCGCGTCGCGCGGGGGGCCCCGGAAGAGGCCTGCCGGCGCCGCGCCGGCGGCGCGCGCGTGGCGGCCCGCGTCGCCGCCGCCGAAACCGACGGTTTTTCATTGAAAATGGTCGGTTCTTCCGCCGGGCAGCTCCTCGGCACCGCCCGCGAGGCGTTGTCTCCCGCCGCGCTCGGCGGCCCCAACGTGGCTTTCCTGGCCGCGCCAGAGATGCTCGAAGAGGCGCGAGGGCTTGCCCCCGGCGCTCACCTCAGGAGGGATCCAGCGAGCCCCCCGCCCCAATATTCGAGCCAAGTTGCAGCGCAGCCGATCGACGACAGATCTGCAGGGGCCCGCGCGAGGCAGCGCGTCCACGCTCGATCGAGCAGCAGATGCCGAAGTTGCCCCTCCTTCACCCCGATCGACTCCTTGTAGCGAAGCGGGCCGGCGCACGCGGTGCGGAAGTCCAATTCGAGAGGGTTTCGGTCGACCTCGGGGAAGCCAGAGTGCAATCTCCAACCTGCATCCGTTGCCTGAGATGGATTTCCCACGCTGTGCGCGGCAGAAATATTTCACCAAGCCCGTCGAAAGCGCGCCGACGGGGCGCCCGCTCAGCCGGGTCGAGCCCGCGGAAGCGTCGGCGCTCGCGCCACCGCCCAGCGGCCGCGCGTCGGCCACCCAGGCAGACACCTCCGCGACCCCGATGCCCGTGGTCGACGCGATGGTGGCCACGACGCGGTCCGCCCACGGGCGCGAGAGATCGGTGCTCATCAGCATCGAGACGCCGTCCATGACCCAGCACTCGTAGCGGCAAGAGGGCCAAAGGCGACACGGCTTGTCATACCTGTCTTTGATGAAGTCGCACTGGGCTCGGAGACAGGAGAGAGCCGGACGGCAGATCATGCAGGCCGCCACGAAGTGCCCCGCGGCGACCTCGATCTGGCGCCCGCTTGCCGCTGGGCCCTCAGCGAGCCGCATCGGGGCGCGACGCAGGGTGGCCAGATTGGCGCCCGCCCGCTGCGCCCTGGCGGGGTGCCCTCCGACGTCTGTGCCCAGCGCGGTCGCCGAGCTGCTGACGTCGGTGATCGGAGCTGGAAGCCGGCGGCCTCGAACTGCTTTGACAATGAAATCTCGCGTCTTGGTCGCCTCGCCGCTATCCAAGCCGAAGACGTCGCTATCGAAGCCTTATCGGCGTTGCCGGGTGGCAACGCCCGCCCTCGCCGGGGCGGCGGCAGCCGCGGCCCGCGCGGTGGCCCAGCCGGGCGCGCCGCCTGGCCTGGAGCGGCGCGATCGCGAACTCCAGCGCGACGAGCGCGAGCCACACGAGGACCCCCACCCACAGGATCGCCTGCAGCATGACGGACTCCAACAGCACTATCGCGACCAGCGCGATGGACCTCAGCAGCGCGATCGCGCGCGGCGCGACGAACTCCAGCAACGCCGCCCCGACCAACGCGCGCGAGAAGGACTGGCAAGGGCAATGACAGCCGGCCCTTGCGCTGCTCCGAGATAAGGCAGCAGCCGCGCTGGGGCCCGCCAAAAGCTGCTCCAGCACCCCGACCAATGCGCGCGAGAAAGAATGGCTGCTGGCCCCCGCGCTGCTCCGAGACACGCTGGGCGACGCTGGAGCCCGCCATCAGCTGCTCCAGCACTCCGACCAATGCGCGCGAAAAGGACTGGCAGGGGCAGCGGCGGCCGATCCTGACGCAGCTCAAGAGATGATGATAATGAAGCTCGAGCCCGCCATCATCTGCCACAGTGCCCCCGATCAGCGCGCGCGAGGAGGACTGCCAGGAGCTGCGGCGGCCAATCCTGGCGCTACTCCGAGAGATGTTGGGAGTGATGCTGGAGCCCACCATATTTCGTCTACCTCAGCACCCCGACCAGCGCGAGCGAGAAGGACGGGCAGGGCTAGCGAGGCCGGCCCTGGCGAGACCTGCCACCGCCATCTGCTACAGCGCCCCGATCAGCGCGCGCTGGAATGACTGGCAGGGGCAGCGGCGGCCGATCCTGACGCCACTCCGAAAGATATGGGGAGCGAAGCTGGAACCCACCATCATCTCCGTCTGCCACGGCGCCCCGATCAGCGCGCGCGAGAAGAACAGGCAGGGGTCGCGGCGCCCGGCCCCAGCGCTGCCCCGACAGCTGTTTGGAGGAGCCCGCCATGATCTACTCCGGCACCCCAGCCAACGCGCGCGAGAAGACCTAGCGGGGGCAAGGGCAGCCAGCCCTGGCGCTTCTCAGCGAGTGTCGCGGGCGAAGCTGGAGCCCGCCGTCATCTGCTACATCATCTGCTACAGCGCCCCAATCAGCGCGCGCGGGGCGAACGCGCACAGCGACGTGCTGGCCG